TTCTTTTTATTATGAGAGAGGCAGCTCGTGAAAAACAAAGGACCAAGAGCTGAGAGATCTTACTAAAATTCAATGCAGCTGATCTCTGGAGTGGCATTTGTGCGCACAGTCCTAAGGAGGAGACATGGGACGTATTCTTTCCCTTTTGGTTCACTAAAGCAATGCCTTAAGGGACTAAGCTGGGAGTAGGTCAAGAAAGAAAGTTTCGTTTGTTAAAATACCTCAGTCTCCCCTGATAAAAGTGCAGCAGCTCTTTGAAATCCGGCATAAGAGCTGAGATAGAAAAAAGGACTAGGTGGGGTCACTGAAACAAACAGCATCAGGACCCAACAGTACCGCAGGCCTCTTACCAAACTCCACGTTTTTTCTCTGTCTTTCAAAGCAATTTGGAAGCCCATTTTCATTACACAATCATAGCTCTACGCGCAAAACAAATCCACCAAAAGAAAACGCACCTCGCAGGCACCCCCCTGAGGCTCTGCGAGGCCCGGCGACTTTGGGACTAGAGACAGTGCGTTCTACAGCGCACCGAGGCTCACCGTGCGGCACCCGCCCGTCACAGCCCCGCTCTCTGAGCCCTTTTTGTTTAAAACTACAGACACATGCCATTTGCTTTCCACGTTTCCTCATTTATTTCCCTTCCCGCCCCGCCCGCTCGTGCGGCGGCGGAAGATGGAGACGGCGGCGCAGGCGCGGCAGCAGCAGGAGGAGGAGGAGAAGAAGGAGCAGGGAGAGTGGTGCCAGGCCCGGGCCCGCCGCCTGGCGCAGCTCCTCGCCGGGCCTGAGGGGCGGCTGCCATGGGCAAGCGGGTGGCGCTGGTGCTCGCCGGCTGTGGCGTCTTCGATGGCAGCGAGATTCATGAGGCGTCGGCGGCGCTGGTGCACCTGAGCCGCGGCGGCGCGGAGGTAGCGGGGGGCGGCGGGGTGTGGGGCTGTGTATATCTATATGTCTGTGTCTGGGTGTCTGTCTGTGTGTGTGTGCGTGCGGCCCGGAGTGCGACACAGCAGCCGAGAGTCCCCCTGTCCTTGGGACCGGAGCCCCTCCCGGTTTGCGGTGCTCCCTGCTGCAAACTCTTTCAGCCATAACCTCTCTCTTTATGTTGCCCCCCTCCTGTTTTATTCATCCCCCTCCAAAGACCTGCCTGGCTCCCTGACAGGAGTTCAGGTCGCACAGGCAGCTGGGCACAAGACTGAAAAGTGGGACTCATTAATACAACTAAATTATTATACTAAAAGTCATGCCTGCAGGTCAAAGAGACCCCTGCCCAGGCGAGGACCGTTCCCCTGAGCATGTGTGGAAGTTGACTGGAGATGTAAAACTTGTATGACAATGACCAGCAAATCGTAACAGAGGTGCTGCACTTGGAGAGTTCTCTGAATTTCCGTGTATAGACAATGGCACAAAAACTCCAGTGGGTGTGCTTGATTTGTGGAATACTACCAAACACCAAGGCTTGCAGGACTCTGAAATAAATAATCAGTGTCTCTCTTGATGTGTAATTATTTGTTTGTCACACACCAGGTAATGAATCCACTTCTGTGGGCAACCGTGCCAGACTCTTTTTAGTGGTACCCAGTGACAGGACGAGGAGCAATGGCCATAAACTGAACCACAAGGAGTTTCATCTCAGCATGAGGAGGAACTTCTTTACATTGAGGGTGGCAGAACATGGGAACAGGCTGCCCAGGGAGGTTGTGGAGTCTCTGTGGAATACCCAAAACCCACCTGGGTGCATTCTTGTGTAGCCTGTTCTAGGTAACTCTGCCTGGTCAGTGGATTGGACTGGATGATCTCCAGAAGTCCCTTCCAGCCCTTACAATTCTGTGATCCTGTGAAGCCAGGAGCAAGGAGAAGCTGGAGACCTGTCTCATCTCCTCTGGCCACAGGGAGCTGAGGATGGGTTAAATTCTTTATCTTCCTTCTGATTACTTTTGCAGCCCTCACTAGGGATTACCTACTTGTTTTCTGCTCACCGTTTCTGGGCTCTCTTTGGTAAGCTGGGACTTGTCAGAGAAGCCTGGGCCAGGACGTAGTGGTGTGCTTTGGTCCCATCTGTGGCTTCAGATGGCAGAAGCTGGTCACTGTCTCTGTGCAGCTGGACTCAGGTGTCTCATGGTAACAACACCACCCGCGTATTTAGCACAAAATTGTCATCTCTGAGAATTTTGCAAAGGAAGCTTCAAAACAGACACAGGAAAACAGTCCCTGTGGTACACCTGTCACAGAGCTTTATATTCTGAAGCAGTGTCCTCCTTTTGTGTCTAACCAAAATTGGTTCTTCTGTGTTTTGGTCTTCCTTTCTGCTGCTGGTGTTTTAGGACAGCTGGTAACTCTAATGTTTGCTCTAGAAATGCTTGCAAAATTTGCATCTTTAACTTTTTTATGTCAAACTTTTTTAGAATTTCAGTCCCATAACAATTAAGAGCAACCTTTCTTCAAAGTCAGCTGTATGTCCGGTTGGGCTGCTGGTATAAATTGTGGTGTCCCGTTTGTCCTTGACCTTATGTGCCGTGGCAAAATCAGTAAGCTTGATGTTAGCATAAGAATACTCTCCTGTCAAAGTGCTGCAGGAATACGATGGGAAGAATGCCTGTATTTACTCATCCTAATATATCATATGTTGCTTTAGATATTTAATGTGCTATATTCATCCTGTGGAATTTGCTTAACTTAGGTAAGAGGCTTCAGGGACAAAACCTGTTTTCATTAAATGATCTTTATTGTGACAAATATGTATGAGTTTTGTTTACATTCACAAAATTGCTTCATCTCTCTTCTTAGGTGAAGATATTTGCCCCTAATATTGAGCAAAGGGATGTAGTCAATCACCTAAAAGGAAGTCCAGCAGAAGAGAAGAGAAATGTGTTAGTTGAAAGTGCCCGGTTGGCAAGGGGAAACATTCAGGATTTGGCTGAACTGAAAGCTAGTGAATTTGATGCTGTCATTTTCCCTGGTAGGTATCACAAAATCAGAAAATACTCTGTGTTGGAAGGCCCACCAGGATGAACTGAGTCCAACTCTTAAGTCAATGGCCCACACAGGGGTTGAGCCCACAACCTTGGTGTTATTAGCACCATGCTCTGACCATCTGAGCTCATCTTTCAAAAGAAAATTGTGATTTTAAAACTCAATATATTTATTGATTCATAGTTAACTAAGTTAAAATGCCAGAGTGTTCTTTTGGTATTAAGTTGTGCATTCCACCATCCCTTCTTACTGAATGTTGTGAAAACTTCACTACTTACGTGTGGACAAGAATCCTGACCAGAGTACAAAAGTTGGGTGAGAACTCAGTTACATGGCAATGCCTTAATTTCAGGGCCTCTGAAGATGTTGGCAGAATAGCAGGTTTCCAAATAGATGATGTTCCATGTCAGATGGGAGTACATTCTGTTTTAATTATGTATCCACTCAGCTGCTGATCAAGTTGTACTAAACAAGTTTGTGGATAATTTTTCATTTAGAGACCACAAAATTTCATTCCAGACAGAGGTAATTGTAACCATTTTTAGAAATGAAGAAGCCGGAGCATCACGAGGAAATCATGACTTGCTGAAGATCTGTTTCCAGAATATTCATAGCACTGTTAAGTACTGCCTTCATGATGAGGCCCAAGTGTTAATTTTGACGTTGTCACACTGTTGTAAGGCCAGCAGAGGGAGTGTGTGTATAACACACAGAAACAATTCTGCCTGCACTGTGAGTAGTTGATGTCAGGGCTGATCAGGAGCGAGTGGAGGCTCACAGATGTTTTCCACATTAATTTCATGCTGCTATAACCCAGGCTCGGGGGGATTGCTGTAATAACTGTTAGAGGGAAATAAACCCTATTTAGTTTGAAAATTAAAATCTTACCTCAGAGATTTCAGATAACACTTGAAAGTGAGCAAACTGGGAAAGGAGAAACATTAAAAATGCAAAGCTTCTTGATGTTGTCTGTTGAAGTACTTGTGGAAATTTCCTTATGCTTATTGGAGAAAAGTTGATGCTCTGCACATTCCGTGTGGAAGAACCTTACTTTGATTATTCTGATGGTTATAAATCCAGCAGACAAAGGAGCTGTAAAATACAATCTGCTTATACAATTAAATGAAGATTAAATGTACCTAAAGGATTGTTAAAACTAATTTATAGAAATACAAATCAGCACTATTTTAATAGGAAATTATGTTACCATGTACAAGTTTTTTTGTCTTAGAGTACCATATGTTATAATGTCCATTTTATGTAAAATCCCCAGTGGTTTTTTATTGTGTTAATGGCTTTTTTTTTTTTAAGTTGAAAAGTAGTTCTACAGAAGAAGAAAAGCTCTTCTATAATTGCTTAAGCATCAAAGTAAAACTTGAGAGTTCATTACTATACTCAAATCACTGTTTGCATTACTCCCATGAATTCCATACTTGTGCTTTTAACTAGTAGTGGTCTTCTGGTCCCTCTTCCATATTGAGGAGTTCACAGCTGATGGTACAGCTGTTCTAGTGACTACCAGACGAATGTGAGGTTCCCTGTTTGTCTATTTTTAGAAATACTTTTTTGAAACAAGGTTAAACTTTCTGGCCTACATATAACCTGCATGGTATAAAAAAGTGCCCAGTTAAACTTTCAACATTGTAAACCCATTTATTACAGGTTACAATGACATTGTAAGGCTTACAGTTACTTAACAGTCCCATGGATACCAAGATGGTGTTGTAAAAAAGAGCTTCTGTTCGGTATCAAATTTAATAGCTTTTAGCAGTGCCTTATATTTGACCTTTTTTGTTTTGGTTTGGGTTTTTTTTAGGTGGTTTTGGTGTAGCAAAGAATCTGTGTTCGTGGGCTGTAGATGGCAAGGACTGTACTGTCAACGAGCACGTGAACTCCACACTCCAGGCCTTCCACAGTGCTAAAAAGCCCATTGGTTTGTGCTGTATATCACCAGTTCTGGCAGCCAAAGTCTTTCCCGGTTGTGAGGTTACGGTCGGTCAGGATAAAAATGTAGATGGAAGGTAAGAAGGAAATGGATGGTGAGGATTTTCCTTGGAATTAAGGTTAGGAAATGGACAGGCTTCTGAGCAAAAGTTTCTTTGGTACCAGTAAAGCTGGGGGAACTTAGTTACTTTTAAGAAAAATTAGTGACAGTTTTCACTAGAATAATAGTAGCAGGCACAGAACTCTCAGGGCAGTTGGAATGAATCCATGAGGTCAGGTGACTTGTGATGCTACAACCAGATATACACTGATCTGTGATATCATAGAATTGTTTAGGTTGGAAAAGTCCTCTAGGACAGGCAAGTCCAACTGTTAACTGAGGGATTTTTAATTAAGATTTTCTGGTGTTAGTGGTTTGGGGCCACTTCAGGGGTGGGAGATGAGAACAGGGCCTGGCAGAAATCAGTACTGCTTCAAAAACTGTCAACTCGCAATAAAACTTCTCAATTAAATTTATCAGCAGCGGTAGTGGGGGATTCTGTTCAGAACAGATTGCATCCGTTCCTTCCTTATCAAGAGGGGAAAAAAAAATTAAAATCTCTAGAGATCCCAGAGGAGCACCTTACATGGAGGTGTTGGAAAAGGTTGCAGGTTCAGCTGGCTTCTCTCAAGCTTGTAAAGATCAGTTACAGCTGCACTTGGTATAATCTTCCAAACTTATGGAAAGATTGTTAAAAGCTATTGTACCTTCTGACATATTGTGGCTCCATATTTCAGACCTTGTTTTCAAAGGTATTAGATCGCTTGATGTGCCTGTAGGGGATAGGAAAATCTGATAGTAGCAGCCTCTAACTCCCTTGTCATCATCAGTTAAACACTCACGTAGATATTGTTGTAGTTCTCTCATTCAAGTTATGTGTGCAGAATTTTATGGCTGTATCATTGCTTTGTGTTAATTAAAGTTTTCTTATTTACAGATTTCCTGATGCTGAAACAGCATCTGCTATAGCAGAGCTTGGATGTAAGCACATTTGCAAAAATGTAAATGAATCCCACGTGGATAAAGCCAATAAAATAGTTACTACCTGTGCTTTCATGTGCAAGGCTCCTCTGCATGAAATCTTTGATGGAATTGGAACAATGGTACAAGAAGTCCTGAAGCTTGCCTGACTAGAAGTGTACAGACTTCTCCAAGGAAATCAGTGTAGCTAAGCATAAACATTTAGCTTCCTTAGATTGAATTAATAAAATAATGCAACTGCTAAACTTCACAGTTCCTGGTTTGTTTGGTGTGGTGGGGTGTTTTTTAATGTTTAATACATCAGATGGTTAGTGCTGAATTTTACCTATTTATTTCTCTTTTAAAATAGAAACCATATATTGAAGATGATGAGGGGAGTCCCTTTGTTTTTGTTTTGGTTTGGGTTTTTTTTAGTGAATCCAAATGTATTCAGTCTTAAAACAACTGAATGGGCAATGGGGTTTTATCACATCATTCATGGTTATCAGTAATTCATATTTGCTGTTACCCATCTGCAATTAAGTGAAGTAGCTGTAAATGAGTCTGTTTACCATCAGTATAGGTGAATAATTCAATTCTGATTTCTAATCAGAAGGGAAAAATAAAAGAATGTGGTTATTTGGGTTCTTTTTTTCCCCTTGAAAGTCTTTAAGCAAGTATTACCGATGGACTTCCGAAATTTTTGCAGAGCCCCTAGCTAAACCAACTTTATAAACCAAGATGCAGCACAAATGAATGCATTGCAGGTGGAAAATACACAAGTTTTGTGCTAATAAATGAAGTAATTTCAGATTTATTTAGTAAAATTAATTAGATTTATTTTGTAGTTTTTTTTGCATACATTGTTTAGTGCCCTGAGGAAGACGATTTTATATGTATTAGAAACCATGCTTTGATCTTATAAATGTGAACAAGGGTTGGCAGTTTCTCTTAGAAGCTCAGTCTGGCAAGGCTTTGTACTCCTGGAGGAACAAAAAATTTCCAGAATTTATTATCTGGGTTCACTGTGGACACTGAGTTGTCTCTCGTAAGAAGTGCTCTGGTACTCACAGGTCTCTGTCACTCCTGCCCAGTGTAGCGTAGCCCACACCCTGCTGGGCCTGAAGTAACCTGCACTGACATCACCTGCTCAGTGTCTCGTGTGACTGGGGCAGGAGTAAAACAGGAACAGACCTGTGCCACAGAGGAGCCAACAGGTGGAACTGGGCAATAATGCCTTTGTGATGAGGAGTGTGGAGCTGTCCCTCACGCTCAGCACTGGTGTGATCAGGCCAGGCCCAGGCCTTTGCTGCCTCAGTGCAAGAGCAATGGCTACAGTGACAGCTGACATGCTGCAGAGTATCCAGTGCTACCCCTCCCTACAAGTGCTGTGTTTATTTTAGCACAGGTTCCCTCTTCAATGAAGTTGTAGAGATAAGTCTACAGAAATAATTATGAAAAGGTTTTCATTCTCTGTACTTCTAGCCATGATGATTTTCAAGGACACAGCACTTCCATACTCTTCCAGAATTTGGAAGCAGAATCACAAATTTTTGGCAGAGGAGCAGGGAGATTTTTGTGCCATGAGCAAGCAGTGAGTGCTCTGCCTCTAGAGGTACAAAGATAGCTGGAGTCAGCTGTGCCAGCAGAGGATCTTCTGTTCAGCCTGGCTAAGCTGGGCACATGAACACCAAATTATTTACCTATCAAAACCCACAATATTGGACTGAATATGGTTCTTGTGTTACAGGAGTCTTATTTAAAAGTGCTCGAGTCACTAAGTAGGAGCTTGTCCTGAATTTTGCACTGGCTTTGTGAAGAGCATGTAGCTGTGGGCTGGAGCACTCAAAGGAAGCGCAGCTTCTCTGGACGTGCTCTAGCAGACTGTCCTGATAGAAATGTACTTAGTACAGAACAGTCCTCTACTTTTTCCAGGTTGTACACGGTCTCTATAATGCCTTCCATGGCTTCTGTGGGCAGGATGCCGTGCGCATTGGATTGAAACTTTTTCTCCAAGTCTTCCTTTTCCAGAGGTTTCCTCCAGTGCCCGTAGAAGGTGGTGCAGCGGTCGCTGATGGTATTGCCATCCCGGAGCGTGACACTCACTTCGCAGTAAAGGCTGTCGAAGCTGGGGGTGTTGTCAGGAGGGTGCTCCAGCTGTGTTTTGCAGAGGAGCTCCCACAAGGCCGGCCGGTGAATGTTCTCACTGGCGAAGGACCGGACTGACATGCTGCCATCCAGCAAAGCCGAGCATGCAACAAACTGGAAGGAGTGTCGTGCTTCATGCTCTGAGGCTGGGCTGGGTCTGTTCACGTATTTGACCTCAGGGACTTTGAGAATGACTTTCTCAATTTTATCAAGAGGGAGCAAGTTCTCACTGCTCTCTACGAGCTTCCTCCTAACAGATGATGCTGCATCAGCTACCCAGTGTGTTGCAAGATGAGCAGGAAAGCGTTTGATGGCCACATCTTGCTGGTCCAAGAGCCAGGGGTAGGACTGCAGGGTTGGCAGAGTCTGTGGGTTGTAATCTGTATAAAAGGCACCCATCCCTGACTCCATGTCCAAGATCTGTTTGTTTCCTTGAAGGCCCTGTAAAGCTAAGCAAGCTGCTTCCAGTCCATGCTTGGCAGCATTCCCAACATGGAGGGGCTTTATCTGGGTTGCTGCATTAGCCAGTGGGGCACCTGCATAGGAGGCAGCAATAGCCAAGGCATTTTTACATTCCAGCTGGTCAAGAGCTAGCAGTTTAGCACAAGCTGCTGCACTCCCCATCGTACCAACCACAGCCGGTGGGTGAAACCTGAGAAAACAAAACTATCTTCATTACCGGATTTCAAAAATTCACCCAAATTCACAATCTACAAAAGCTTTTCATTCATTGCCACGGGAAATGGATTGGACCATAAAGAAACACACATTCAGCATTCCCATGTGGGCCTGAGAGTTGTCACTTTGCTCCAGGAAAAAGTAAAACTGGGATAGTACTGCTTGCAGTAAGTCCTTCCCAGAAAGCAGCTGAAACATTAGTGCTGCTCATAGTTTAACGCAACTTTATAGTCAAATATAAAGTTATATTTATTCTTATTTAAATTTTTATGTTATTATAAATCTATAAAAATTCAAAGTAGGGAGATAATTGCCTCATTGTGAATTAGTCAATGCTTTAAAAAAAAATCTGTTAGCTACAGAGGTAGGAATCAAATGTATTTATGTGTAAGATAAGCCTTCCGAAAATTTCCAGACAAACTGCTAGGAAATATGAATAACTGTGCCACCTGTATATTAACTGACATTTTATTATGCATATTAGCACTGATTAAAAACCACCTCTATTCCACTTTCTACTTTAAACATTTCTATGTACCTTCTTGGAATATTCCTGGCTTCTCTGGAGAAGTGCAACAACCTGCCTTGCACTTCGATTCCCACATTGAAAGCTAAGAGCAGATCAAGACCCGAGATTTTTTTCTTCTGAGGGAAGGCCTCTGAGAGTGCAATCACTGCGGGGAGCACAGCCCCGGATGGGTGTGTGGCTGGATGCCAGGTGTCATCAAAGTCCATCGAGTGCACCTAATGGAAAGAGAAGCATTGGTATGTTAGAAATAAACTGACTTTGCAAGTTTGCCTCAGTCAAATGAAACTACTGTAAATAGTACAGAAATGTACCAAAGAACTAGATCTTCCTTAGAAGGCAAAAATTTCAAAAGTCTTTTAAAGACTTTTACTCCCAACATGGCTGTCTGAGAAGTGGCAATGCAGCAGAGATCTTGCTTCAAAAGAGAATAATTCTAATTCAACTTGTACCAGCCTGAAATCAGTGTGACAGTGATTCCTTTTTTCTGCACTTGGCTTTTGCTACTTTAATTAGACTGGTATAATTAAAGCAGCTGTTCTAGGTCCACTATATGAACACTGAATTTTCACTTTCCCCAAAACATAATGAAATATAAACACAATGAAATTACTTCGCTGGTGCTGCAACTGATGCTGCCATTAGGATTCGCACCATAAAACTGTAGCAGTTAAATACTGCTAAATGGAATTTATGTCATCAGAGCTATTTCTCTGCTGCAACCATCCACTGCCAAGAGGCACAAGCCTGCAAATGTACAGGAGGCTTTAGCCTGAATTTTCAGCACTTTGAAACAAGACCTGTCACACAAGAAACCAGATTCCCTGGAGTTGATGGGAGTAGGAGAAAGCTGCAGTCTGAATGCAGAACGAGCTGCTTGGCTTAAGAGAGTATTCTAAGTGGTGCCTTCTCTTTCCCATGCCCAGAGCCCAGCTGTCCAGGAAGATTTTGGGTGTCCCCAGCATGGCATTTGGCTGCTGATCTGGCAGCAGACGGTCCCCAACATTGCAGTCAAGAGTCTGTAATGCACTGCTTATCTGGCACATTCCTTCCTCCTGCAAAGTTTTGAGAACCCCCAAAGACCTGAGAGCATCAGGGACAGCATTTTTAAAAAAAATATATACTATAGTAAAACACCTCAAAAACCTGAACTTTCACATCTGTTCACCCATGTCTTAACTTCAGAGCAAACTGGGAAAGTGATCAGGCTCCCCAGAAGTCAGGTTTTGCTCTGTAATACTGTGATTATGCATTTTTGAGGACTGGTTCTAAACAGATAGAAGAAAATACAGTGTTTGCCTTGAAAACTTTTGATGCCAACTGGGAAGATGCCCTGCAGTGCAGGATAAAGGAAAGTTGTGGCCAGTACCCTGTAAGCTGTGTTTCTGGTGTCTTCAGTAAGTGCTTAAATTGACCTGTGACCAAGATGTAAACTGATCATATATATGCTAACAGCCAGATCTGAATATTGTAAGGGTTGCTAGGACCTGAGGGGTACCAGATCTCATTTCCAAGGTAATTTTCTCTACATTGGAAATGAGCTGTTAAATTGGACCTCTGATATTGTTGTCACACTAATTTAAACAGGCTTAATATTACTATTTCCTTGGTTCATCACCTTTCCTAGTTTTGCATAATTGCCAAATTTGTCTACCCCACCTCTTGTGCATCTTTCAATTTCAAATGGTTTCAGCCTCAATCTGAATTTAGACAAATGTCTGGGGAGTCAGTTATTGCTTTAATGACAAAGTGCATGTCCAAAATATATCACTGGCTTTTGGAAACTGTGTAACTGAAGATTAAGTTGCCTTGTGATATTATGTGTGCATGTACCTATACATGCATCTGTGTTTTTCTGTAACTGCACTTTGCCAGTTGGCAAGAAATTTGGATCCCAGTGAAATGAGCTAGAGCTGGAGGGTGTGTTTTTGAGCAGCTACAGCAAGGTTGTAGCCTTGCTACAAGGTTGCCAGGTTGTAAGCTGTAGAGTTCTGACACTTGAGAACAGAACCAGGTCCCACATTAAATATAAGGGATGCTGTTGAGTTGGATCATACATGTATTGTACCTTAAGTTCAGTCTCACTGGAAGGAAGTTGAAGCATATTAGGAGAATAGTCTAGAAAAGTTTTGTAGCAGGCTTCAGAATAAGCTATGATTTTCAGGACATTCTGTTCTCTATAGAGTAAGAATGGCATCAATTTGTATGATTTCAGAGCAAATAAAAGAGCATCCCTTACAGCCACTCCATTCACAAAAGCTGCATACAGAGGAGGCAGTCGGAAATCCAAGTGGCCCCAGATGGTACTGGATAAATCTGAGCTGTAGATCTGAAACAAATTGACATAAATTAATTCAAAGTCCTGAACCTAAGGATAAATGTGCATTGTATTTCTGATGAAACTGAGAGCAGACCATGTCCTCTGGGGACCTAACTGCTCCCTTTTATGCGAAAAATATTGTTCTTTCAGAAAGTCTGAAAAGGAAGTCAGTTTCCTGTCGGCTTATGTCCTATTCCACCCAAACAGAGCTGGGGGCAGACCAACACCACCCACCTGGCTACTCAGTACCTTCACACAACCTCTGGCCACTGATGCCCCTTCTCAGCACCCACTGACAGAATCACAAAACCAGTTGCGTTGGAAAAAACCTCTGAGATCATCAAGCCCAGTCTAAATGATGATGAGACTGTCATCATCTTGTTGGGAAAGATGTCTCATTAAAGGGTTTTGTTTTCTGTGTTTTAGTAAGACCCTGAGTAAACGATAGATGGCCTCCTGGTGCTGCAAACTGAATAAAAGGGCACAAACTACCCTGGTTTGGAAAGGGGATTTCTCTGTGGGAAGAGACTAACTGGCACACAGAGCTCTGGAGCACAAGTCCACCCAGGCAGGTCTGAAAGATAAACCAGTGGGTTGAACTCCTCCTCATGGATGCACTCCTGTGCTGGGAATGCTTCTTTTCAGGGTCAATTACTCTGCTAGTTTGAGGAGAGTAAGACTGGAGGAGAAGCGTGGCTGATGCACCTCAGACAATTATGTTTTATGGACTGCAAGTAACCCACTGCTAACTCCCCATCTCTTTAACAGTTCCTTGATTTGAAAGGCTGGTGATAAGTGATGCTTACTTTGTTGGTGTTTTTAATAAGATATCATAGGTGAAAGAAAGGAAGGGGTTCTTAGTTAACTGTGTTTGTAGAGGGGGATCTTAGCATACAGACTGATACACAGACTTTTGCCCATCCAGAGTGAAAAGTAATTTGAGCACTGAAGTTTCACTGTCTCCAGTGGGAAGAACACAATTTCTCTCTTTCCATCCATGAAAGAATTTAACCATGGCAAAGTTTCATTTTCATTGCCCAAGTTTTCCCTTGCTTTCTTAAAGCTAAACTTTAGGGTGTGCTATGGATGTCAGACAGCTTACCTTGCTGTACTGTGCCACTCTGTGGCAGACCTCGGTGCTGGTACCCAGAAGCCCTACTCCAAGAGTATCCAGAATCATTCGCTTACTTCTCTGAATTACTTGATCTGTCAACTGATTTGCATTCAAACCATGAATCACCTTGGCAAAATTTCCTGTAACTGTCTGGGGAGGGAAAAAATAAAGAAAAAGAAGAAGTAGATATTTCTCTGTATTTAAAGTAATCACTCTATTTTCTTTCCTCTTTTTTTTCTTTCCTCTTTTTTTCCTTTCAGTTTCTAGCACACTGGCCATTTCTGCCCCTGCTTACATGGATTGCATCAGAAAAACCAAGGTCTGGGAATCCTTCCTCTTTTTATTCCCAGAAATGTCACTATGTTATTTATATTTTACTTATGCTTTCATCATTATCCTTTTCTATTCTGTATTTCTTCTGCTTTCTCCCTGAGCCCTTGAGAGTATGCACTGCAGGTGCTATAACTATGCAAGATTATCTCTGTCATCTCTATCTCATCCCCATCTCATCTCCATCTCTAATGACTATTCACACACACACATCTCCCAAGTAGAAGTAAAAACATCTGTTTTTCCCACGGCACCTACTTGTTGGTATTAAAATCAGTGGGAGAGTAGCATTTCAATCCAGCGCACCCACTACCACACAAGAAGGCAGGATTTAATCTCCCTGATTAGCAGCCTTGCTATCCCAAATCTTGCTGAGCTTGGAGCTCAGTAGGAGGCAGGAGTTGGCAGCCCTACCTCGCACATACTGCTCATAGCTCCCAGCTCCCATTGAATTCACTCTCAGCTGGAGTCCCAGCTTTTCTCCAAGACAAGATCTTGCCTCTTTGAAAAGCAGTAGCTCCTTGTTCCTGGATCCTGCTGATCTGGGAATTATATATATTTATTTTCCTCTCTTATTGAGCAATGACCCATTATGCAAATTCAACCTGTTTCTTGGCTGTGAGCTGCTGTTAGTATCTGTATTAGAAAATTATCTAAAACTTCCCTTCCTGGACCATTAGAAATGTCCCACTGTAGAGGTACACATTATTTACAACCAGTCTATACACACAATTTCTTTTTTATACTGGCAGTAGTGAATATTAATCTTCTCTCTCTTTGGAAATTATCTCCTTTCATTTCCCCTCTTCATTCCCCTTCCTTTACTCCCCTGCACACATCCACACAGAGTGTTGGTACTGCCTTTTGGCCTTGACTTTGCTGAGATAAACAAACCAGACTGTGCTGCTCTCTCCTCTACAATATGGACTCACCCCTACCATGCTCGTATATTTTCATTGTGCTGTTCACACTGCATTCCTCTTTCTCTAGCAACGGTGACCAGAATTGTACCCACCATTACAAACAAGTTCTCACTCGCAGTGAAGCATTAAGATTATCTCAAGGAAGCAGTTACAAGCAGTTTAAAGCAGGTGAACCACGTATCCCATGGTGTGATGGTCACTAACTGCAACATTTGGAGTGAGGATACGAAATCTTAAATAGAGAATCACATCTTACAGTGCAAGGAAACAAGACAGTACCTTTGCCCACATCCTGCAGGGGTGATGCACGTCCCAGAGAGATGCAGCAAATGATGATGGTCAGTGAGCAGGGGAACTCCTATCTCACTATTTATATGTGTCTGTCTGAGGTGGGGGAAGGAATATTAGGCCTTTCCACTTATGCATCTTGTCCTGCCCATTTCCTCTTCTGCCCGTAAATGTTCTTTTTGCTTCACTTTCCTCTGACTAATTGCAGTATAAACCTCAGGGACACATGTGATAGGACTTAGCCAGTCATGTTTACATGTTGTGTAAATTAATACATGTAATACTTCATTACCAGATAGAAACTGATTCATCTGGTAACATGGAGAGCTGTGTGGAACCTCAGTAATATATGGATAGCTCTACTGGTTGGAAAAGTCCAGTACCAGACTACAGGATGGCAAAGGCTGTTTTAGCTTAGACAACCTGTTGTTAATTTTTTTGTTTGTTTGTTTTAGGTTTTTTTTTTTCCTTTTCTTTTCTTCTTTTGCTATATGTCTCCTCTCTAACACATACAATTCAGACTTGGGAAATGTGTGCCATAAGAATTTCAGACCATAAATTGGATTAAGGCAGTTCTTGGCACTTAGCAGTGTTTTAACAGCATGAATCACTGTGTGTTAGCAATAGATAGTGAGTGAGAAATCCCTGCCTAGCCCATCAGGAAGAGAGCAGACCCCACAGGAGCATAACTAGGGGCCATTGAATAATTCTGAAGTAAATAAATAAAGATGTCTGAAGTATGGGAATCACCCAGGTTAGGGAACTTCAGACTTCAAAGCATCAAATCTCAGAATTGCAGCCTTGCACTTCCATGATAAGTGCTACCTAAAACAGTCTAGGAATCTCAGCCCTTTGCTGAGAATAGCTCCAAATAATTTTGTAAAGCCTTATCTAACTCCTGAGTGCTTCCAGGTAGATAACAGCATAGGTCTAGAGGTGAAGCTGAGCATCAATTTGAGTGGTTCTAACCACTACTGAATGGTCCTGTTTCAGGCTGTGTCCTTATCCCTGTCCTGTCCCTGGGTACATGGTCCTCCTCCTCCCTGGGCCAGCCCTGATGCTGAGCAGATTCATTTCTGAGCTGGTCCAGCCTGTCTCCAGAATCTCTGTGATTCTCAGTAGTCAGGCATAACTGCCTTTCATGGCCTTGGAAATGCAAAATTAAATCTTGCAGCACAAAGCAGAGGGAGAGAGGAGTAGGGCTAGCAGTAGTCTGTGAAATTTTGGGAGAGCACAGGCAGATAACATGAGAGAAGAGGGAATCAGCTGTTCCCCAGCAAGCTCTAAGCAAGATATTTGCCTATTTTGCCCATGCTTTTAGCCAGTTCTGCTCTTGGGTATCATCTGCTGGTGCATAACTTGATGCTGAAAATTGCACTGGGTAACAAAGGGCCTTAAATGACAGAAGCAGTGATGAGTCAGTTCATGGATACAGCCAAAGAGCCTGAAGCCCGGGACTTCTAAAACCCAGCCCTACAAAGACACACATAGTTTTGTACAGGCTAACCTGCCTCATGTGAAGGTTCCATTTAAACCCTTGTCCTGTCTTTCTTTTAAATATGAGCAGCTGTTCAGCATGGCTACTAAACCTATTCCCACACACTTCTCTATGAGTATGACACAGTTTCCTCACCCATGCAGGTATTAACTTGCATCTGCATAAAACATCCCAGCACATGTCCTAGGTCCTGGGTTTGTTTTGCCAAATCCCGACCCCATAGGGACAGAATGTGGATCTGTGCTTCTTCCTTGCCCCCCATATTTCCACACTGAGGAAAACCTCAGAGGTAGCCTGAAGAATTACCTTTGGTGCTGATAAAATCCAACTGACATATTGGGATTGCTCAGGTTGACAAGGTTGGCAGTGGTTAGAAAGGTTAATAGAAGTTAATGCTATTGGGCTGATAAAGGGAAATATTTTGTTGACTTTCACTTCTGTTCTTTCAGATCATTCTTCTCTCAGAAAATTGGAAGAAAATATTTACATTTCAGAACCATACAATCACAGATTGGCTGCAGTTGGAAGGGAGCTCCAGACACCATCTTATCCAATCTTTAACAGGCCATTCGGAGCAGGCTGGGTCCAGTTAGATTCTGAATATCTCTGATGACAGAGACTCCATAGCTCCCCTGGGCAACCACAAAAAATTACATATTAAATAAAAGATATTCAAAACCCTAAATCTCCATCCTCTTTTCCCGTTATCTTTGGGATATCATTAATAACCCTTCTGTTTCTCATTTCTTTCTCCTCCTCAAGTGCAATAGAAGTCCCCCTACCTTAATCCCATGATGAGACTCCAAAGTGAATTTGGATGGGAGCCAGAACTTGTGATGTGCCTTGCAATGTGCTGTGCAGTCACATGCTGCTGGCTGATCTCAGATACATGGTCACTTCCTTCTGTGATCCTGACTGCAGGATGGACTGCCCCATGCATTGCAATAATAACATTAGTAATATTTATGGACTCAACTGAGATACTACGAGAAAGTGACTTTTTGTTTAAAAAAGAATGAAGTAAACCAGTACCTTTGCTTGGGAAACCAATTTCCAAGCTGTGGTCTGCAGACCTCAGGCTCAGGTGTACACTGTAGACTGAGGGAAAAGAAAGCAATATGATTATCACTGCAGGGGGATCAAGCACCTATACAAAGTCCTGTACCTCCACAGCAGAATTCCTAGGGGTCTAAACAGAAGAAGGTTGGAAATCAGTGACTGGGAGTTTGGTACAGCCTGTCCACCCTGACAAAGGGAATCTGCTGCTTTCGTCTTCTTTGACACAATACTCATGGTTCAGCAGTTTGGGCAGACAATTTGTTAACTAGCAAGTGTGGTGGAAAGACAAAATGTGTTCATCCAAATGCCATTTGCAGTGTTGCACGCAGCTACAGTAATGAGCTGTGTTGATTACAGAACAAGGCTGTAGAAAACCAGTGCCCCACAGAGTCTATTTTCTCCTGCTGACATCACATTTTTAAGCTGCCTTTTTCCTTCTTTTCCCTCCAGTTATTTTAGGCTAAACTCTGCCCACACCTGCAAGCTGTATGTTTGCAACTGAAAGCAATTTTGGCCCTAGCCTTATGCTCCTTTTGTTCTAAGGAAATATTAAAAATTATGACAAAGTACAGAGCCCAGGCTTCCTTTTTTCCAAGCCAGCTTTTAAGAAGTCACTTTGTTCATGGCCTGTGCTTAGATGAGAAAACAGGAGACAGGTGCCAGTATGTTGTGTTTACAGAGACTCTGCTGTTGCTGACTGTCTGAAAACAACTTACAAGTTCAGAACTTGCTCCTTTTCCCTCTACTGGGATATTTAATTACAGTGAAAAGGTGAGAGTCTTAGACAGAAATAACACACAGCAAATGCAATAGGCAATGATTGCATCATGAAATGTATCATCCTGGAAATTTCTAGCCTACAGTAGTTCTCTTATTCACTTACTTGCACAACTAGAGGCAATGGCAGTGAAATCTCTGAGAAGTTATCACCCTTGTTTTTGTTTTTTTTTCAAAGTTCCCACAGCAAATCTTGGAAGTTCCTGGCCATGTTCTGGTAAAGGTTGCTAGGAGTCAATGTGCTGGTCAGTGCACTACATTGCACTGCCATTCTTGCCTTCCTAAAGGCAAGCCCTCAAGAAAACTTGTAACATAGATGCTGGTTTGCTTAAATGAGCTGTAAGATAGAGGCACCAGAGATACCTGGGATATTCCCTTAGGTTCACATTCAAGACACGTAATTTATGGAGTAGTGTGAAGAAGCCTGGTCAATGGTCTCAACAATATGAGAAGACACCGCAGCTCCATGAAATTCCTGCTGAACCAATGCGCATTTTAGCTCTCACCAGTGCTGCAAGCTTTACCTGTTTTACTGCTGCCAGCACTCAGTTTTACCCTGTCTTCTGCAGCACCCTCAGGCTCTGCTGCAACACCGTGGATGACATGGAGTCCTTCAGTGGAAGGACTAGGGAATGAGTCTGGGGGTGGTTTGGGGGGTCTTTGATATTTTATGACACCTTCCAAGATAGGACCGCTGCATCTCATGTAGCTGAGCCGGTTACGCCCCATCAGAAGGGATAAATACCTTCAGGCCTACGTGGGAATGTGACCTTCCCCAAGGTGTGGGGTTTAACATCTAAGTCAGAAGCATAAGGGAGGACAACTGGCATGATAAAAAACACCTGAAACATCCCCCCTCTGCAGGGCCTGCTTCTTACCGACCTTCTATCTTATCTGGCTCAAACCCCAGAATCTCTGGTCGTGGGTGTTCTCCCCCTCTGTCTAATTTGGATCAGAGGTTTTGCCACCACATACCCCAAACCTCATCTCCTCCCCTTGGTGGGTGTAATCCTTGCCCCCACACAGCACCCTGCTGCCTCTGCAAATGGCCAAATGTTTGAGCCATTAATGTCTCTCCCGATGATCTCCAGTATGAATAATAGCTGTAGGTGTGGGACATCACATAGGTGTTGTGTACATGCAGTTTCCATAACTACTTTTTGTTTTTGGCAGCCTGTGGCAACCTGTAGCACACACTGCTCTCTTAATCAAAGAGCAGCTCATGATGTCTATATTATGTGACCAAGATGCAGCCAGATGTCACTACATGACTTGTGTTATTTGGGGAGATGATAAAACTTGACTAGCATAAATTCAGAGTTTGATGTGCAGAGACCAAACTAGTGAGAGCACATGTGAGGGATGTGGCAATTTTAATTAAATTACCAGCAGAACTCCAGTGGTGCAAATGAGGCATTGCCCACTGTGCTAGGCTGTGCATCATACACAGAAAAGCACCGAGCAAATTGATGCTCCTGATCACTTCAGAGCAGTGCCCGATGTCAGGACGTAATGGGTCCCAGCAAGACTGTGGTGGTGGTCCAGTGGGGAGATACAGTATCAAGATCTAGTGTAAAACAAGCTTAACCATTAATTAAGGGGTAAAAGAACCTCTCTGCATCTATACTAGCTCTCAGGGATTTGGAATCCCTAAGAAATTATCCACGAC